GGGGGCGTTGCAGGCAGATCTGTACGCGTAGCAGATTCATGGAGGAGGTGAAGCGATTTGGTAGCTGCTGTGTGGGGCTTTTATCGGGGTTGCCACAGTACAGCGTGGTTCCTGTGGCACTTCAGAAGCCCTTTGACAGCAAATGTTTTGCTTTGGACACAAAGCATCTCTCATTGCGTTGCTGATTTGCCTTATTGTTGTCCTTCCTTGTTTCCCAGATGAAGGAAGATCGCTTTCGGAAGCTATTCGCCGCCTTTGGCACGCTGACCGATTGTTGCTTGAAATTCACCAAGGAGGGCAAGTTCCGGAAATTTGGCTTCATTGGCTACAGGTCTGAAGATGAAGCTCAAACAGCACTGAACCATTTCAACAGAAGTTTCTTAGACACCTCCAGAATCACAGTGAGCTGATCTTTAAAGATATTTTCTTTGGATTCTTAAGAAAGTTTGTCATTTTGGTAGTTTTAGGGGTGAACAGCCAGGGGCTGACAAAGCCTGGAGGTTAAGTCCTCTGCAGCAAACCAGCAAAGCCTGATGCCAGGGCTCATTGCTGGAGTCTCGAGCAGACACTTGGCTCAGTTGGGCTGTGCTGATGCACCAGCAGTGATTTCAGTGCTGCTTGGAACAAGTGTCGGGTTTTGAGCTGTCATAATCTGAACTTTTGTACTTGAGGATCATTTTCCATTTAAAGTCATTCATGTTGCTGGATGATTCATGATAAACAGGACAACTTACTTGACTCCGCTTAAATAAGCACACCAGACCGTTCCCCATGTTGACTGAATGTGTAGCCCTGCACTTTTAAAATGAACATCTGCATGGAGTTGCCTGTTCTTCTCCTGCACAGGCACCCTCCGTTCTGTCAGGATTATGAGAAGGATTTCTGAGTGAGGCTTATCCAGCAGGTACAGAACCAAAGTGTTGAACATATGTTTAATTAAAGATCTGAATGATTCTTTTCAGGTTGAGTTATGCAAATCTTTTGGTGACCCTTCAAAACCCAAAGCATGGAGTAAGCACTCTCAGAAGGCCCCTGCCTCAGAAAAACAGACCGAGAAACCTGTGACAAGTACAGCTCCTGCAGGCACAAAGAAAGTGAGTTTTGCTTCTTTCCTTGAGGCTCTGAACTGTGTCAGTGGCTTGGCAGAGAGAAGGGGACGGAGTAGCTGGGACAGCGGATGTTGGAGTCCTGGTTCTGGTATTTTCTGCCTTAGAATCTATGTTGTCTGTAGTATTAGGTTACATGAGAAATGATCTTGGCTGTGCTTCTAATAAGCCTTGTGAAAAATGGTGTTGGTTTTTTTTCCCTAGGATAAAAAGAAGAAAGATCCAACAGAAAACTTAAAGGAGGTGAGTTGAGGTTAAATCACAATCCCTACGTTCTTGCTAGCTTGTATGAAGAGCAAGAGCTGAATAACTCTTTTCTGTACTGCTTCCTGTGCTGTTAATTCAGGCAAGGTGTATGATTTAACCAACTGCCTGACAGTCCAATTCTACTGTAATAAACCATGATTTTAACAATCCCCACATCAGGGACCAATTTTTTTGTCAGCCACTCATGTGTGAGCACAGCATCCAGGACAACCATTGTTTTGACAATTAAGGTTTTTAACCATACGTGAGTTTTGTCACGTTTAACTTGTACATTTTTTTCTTTTTTTAATGTTTTGTTTTCTTCTTTAAAGTACTTTCTAAACATGAATTACAAAAAGAAAGAGTAGGACTGAGAGATCTTGAGATGACTTTAGTCACTTTAGGTGCTCACCTTGTGAGTGTAAAGGGGACTCCCCTCTTAGGGATTTTTTTGCATTGCTGGAAATGAGGTGATATGTTTGAAATCAAACTCACTACTAGCTCTCCTGTGTCTGTCTTCACAGCTTGTCTGCTTGGTTTCTTTTTCAACAGCTGGAAGAAGATGAAACATTCCAGGAGTTCTTGGTGGTTTACCAGAAACGGTCTCAAGTGGCCACTTGGGCTAATGACACTTTGGCAGAGGAGCCCAAGAAGGGAAAATCAAAGCCAGCAGCCGATTATCTCAACTTTGATTCAGACGAGTCTGAGGAGCTGAGCGAGGAGGAGGAGGAGGAGGATGGGAATGAACCCTCTGAAGATGAGAGGGGAACTAAAGGTACCAAGAGGAACTGTCACCCTTTGCTTGTCTTTGTCTGAGTGGACGTGGGAGCAGGTGTGCTCATCGAACCGAACTCCGAGTCCTGCCTCCAAATGGAGACCGTGTAGTCGGGAAGGTGGTTTCTCAAGTGTGAGACTCGTTCTGCGTGTGGTGGATGTATGGTTGTGTTCTCAAATAGGGGGAAATGGGGGAAATGCAGCTTCTGGTGTTGAGGGGATGGCATTTGTGCTTTCCATGGGCCCTTAAGTCAATGCCTAGGAAAGAGTAGCAGGGCAAACATCTGCGTCACTCCTTTCAGTGCTCTCCTAGCCAACGGCTGCTTTCATCCCCAGGATTTCCAGAGCTGGATGTGGTTTCTGTTTATTTAGTAACCCGTAGCTGATGTCTGTGAACTGGTCTGGTCCGCCTTTGAGGAAACGTTGGTGTGTCCTTGGGCCCTGTCAGAGTTGATGGGAACAGACGGAGCTCAGTATCTTGGGTCTGGAAAGGAAAACTCTATCTAGTGGAGTAGTGGGATAACTTAGACTGAGAAATCTGGGCTGCAGTTTGGTGTCTGTCATCTCAGTCTCCAGTGTCTCTGCACCAGCAACAAATGTGGGTTTGGCGCCTTTCTCCCTCCTTGAATGGTATTTCCTTATGCCGTTCCTTTGGAGTGAACGGCGTCTCCCTGCTGCTTCTCACCTCTCTTTGGGTAACTAAAATGATCAGTTGATCATTGGTAGGGAGGATTGTTTTGGAGAAACAGCTTCCTGTGTCCCTGACCCTGCAAAACTAAACCGAACAATTGAAAACCTTCTCTGGCGTCTGTCTGAATTATTTAGTTAAAATTGAGACAAAATACTTTGCCATGGAGTTCCTCAATCTCCTTTTTAATTTGTTTTATACATGAGCTGTTGCTTTGAAAAATAGTTGTCCAGACATGTCAGTCTGGAATTGCTGAGATAAAATTGCTCTGCTATTCTCGAGCCTTTCCTCCCTGTGAAAAGGGAAGGGTAGAGGAGAGGAAGGTGGTTCTTGTGATTGTGTCTGTTCTCAGCTTTTACCTGGTTGGGCAGAGAGCAGCAACGTGTGCAAAACCTCTCTGGTCTCTCTTCTCTGACAGCAAAGAAAGGAGAGAAGAAGGCAGCTACCAGCAAAGACCTCTCAGATATGGATTACCTGAAATCTAAAGTGGTGAAGGATTCTTCCTCCTCATCCAGTGCAGAGGAGGAAACAGATAGTGAGGAGGCAGAAGAGGAAAGTGAGAGCGAGGAGGATTCGGGCATTACAGAAACCATGGGCACCCACACAGATCAAAGGGGGAAGCCAAAAGCCCAACAAACACAGCAAGACGTGCCAGTGGAGAAGAAGAAAAAAGGATCCACGCTAGAGGTAGAGCTGAATTAGACTTTTGCCTTATCTAAAGCAGGAGGTTTACGGAGATGGTGTGTATCTGTCAGTCGCTCAGGGGATGAGCTGAAAGCCTGAAGTCTGTGGCACCCCAAGGTACCAGCTTTCTTTGCTCACTGGGCGGAAGCCATTTAAAAAAGTTTACTGGATCTCCTCCTAGTGCTGATTGAATTCCTCCCTGCCAAGAGAGCGCTTCCAAACAAGTGCTGCTCGTGCCCTTTTCTGAGGCTTTTCTGGTTTTCCTGTGTCCTTCTCTCTCTGCAGAAAACACTGTTCTGCAGAACTCAGTTTTTAGCAACTGGGTTTAACTATCCCAGCCAAACCTTGCGCCCACCTGCCCAGGCTGATGCAGTTGCAAGATTCTCTGCTTGTTGCACAAGACCAGCTTGTTGTGCCATGACTTTTGCTGGTTTTCACTCAACGTTTTTTCTTTCCCCGCCCCCGGCTTCTGTCCAGAACCAAGACAGCTCAGTGGAAGCCAGCACACCACACACGGTGAAACTTCGTGGTGCCCCCTTGAACATCACTGAGGTAAGCTTTGTTACAAAGCTTGGAATGGAGGCTTGGGGTGGTCTTCAGTGTGTAACTCAGCGTGATCTTTGCAGAGGTTTCTGTCTTCGCTTCTGGAGCTGTTTTGAGGGTTGTATGGGCGGTTGGGAAAACTTTTGAACTGGCTTTGTGCAGAGATGTTGTGGTGCATGTAGTGTTTTTACAGCATATATAAAAAACCTGTAAATCGGAAACTTGCTGCTTCCTCTATCTGAGAACTTATTTAAACAATTATAATTCTTCCTGCAGCAAAAGATTCGGGAATTCTTCTTGCCTCTGAAGCCAGTGGCAATCCGGATAGGAAAAAGTGCCTTGCTGTCCGTAGGATGCCGTGGGCAGAGGAATGTTGGCTGTGCTCCCTTAGGAGCAGCGGCAGGAGCCTTTCCTTTGATCTGCCTCCAGAACTTCCCTAACCATCCCAAACCATGCCAAGGAAAGCTTTCTTCCCCAGGTTCACCTGCAGCAGTGCCCAGGGACTTTGCTGACCTGTGCATATCGGCTGCAGAGCCGTCCTCAGCCTAGGGGGGGGCAGGTCCTCGGAGCTGACAGGGAACTCGGCTATATGCTGTTTTCCTTGCATAGCCTAACAGCAGATGCACCTTTTATTTGCTCTTGGAGACACCTGTGAAAGCCTCCTTCAGCTGTTAAATCGGGCTTTGGTTTGCATGTAGAAATGAGGTTTTAAAAGGCAGACTTCCAGTCTGCCGTGGCCATTTTCAGGCTGGATTGAGACTTGAATGGGAGCAAAATGCTTTATCTATAGGAATCCATATTAAAGAAAGTCCAATTCACCCTTAATTAGCCAATTAGTGGTTGTGTGTTCCCCACATGATGCTCAGTTGAACCTTTCCTTCCTCCAAGGTTATATCTTTGTTGACTTGAAGAGTGAAGCAGAAGTGCAAAGGGCCTTGAAGCGAAAAAAAGAATACATAGGTAAGGGCTGTTTGTTCCTTCTTGTTCTGGCTGATGTTGATGGCAGAGTGCTCAGCTGCTGAAGCGTTTGCTGCGGAAGTGTCTCCTGTTCTTTTAGGTTTTTTCCAGGCAGATGGTGGGGGTGGTTTCCTCTGCTCAGTTAACATGGGATTAACCAGATGATTTCTGTGTTGGGAGCAGCAAAGAACTGGCAAGTGACTGAGCTATGCCTGTTGCTCTTTGGCCCTTGGTTTTTGTCATGCTGCAAGTGTATCTTGATATAAAAATGATATTGTTTAAATCTGGTTGGGGTAGTGTAGGGGGTTTGTACAAATTAGTTTGTAAGCCTGTGTCTGAAACCCGTTCTTGGCCTAGTCCTTAGCTGGACTACTAGAATTATATTTGCAAAAATCCTATGCAAAAATGGGAATATCCACTTGGAAGCCTGTGGACTAGGTTGGCACAGGCGGAAAGGCTGGAGCTCTCTGAAAGGAAGGGAGACTGTGGACTTGTCTAGCAAATGTTATCCTGGTTTTTATGAAGACTACTGCATCCTCGTCCCCTCTTTTTGTTTTATATCAGGCAGAGTTCTGCTCAAAGCTTGTGGAATTGTAATTGCTTGTGTCACTGCTGTAAGCCCAGGCCCTTCGTGCATTGCTATCAATTGCCTGTGGCCTTGGGAAGCAACTGATGTGCTGCTGTGTGTGTTTCTGGATTAGGTGGACGATGCGTTGAGGTATTCCGATGTGGGAATACTCCAAAAGAAACTGTTACAGCAAAACCTGATAACCAGCCATGGCAAAGAAGGAAGAGGGACGATGAGGAAGAAGAGGACTTGTCTGAATCAGGGAGACTCTTTGTCAGGAATCTTCCCTTTACTAGCACTGAGGAGGACTTGGAGAAGATCTTTTCCAAGTACGGTACGTATTTGTGGGACCGGGACTTGCAGGACTACGTCTTTCCTTCGTGTGCACAGAGGTTTTCTTGCTGGGTGTGAATGGACAAAGCTCCGTGTCCCACACCTCTCGAGCATGGACCGACTCCCATCGTCTTTGCTGCCTGGTGTGGTAGCGTGCGGCTGCTTGGCTTTGAAACGGGTGCTGGCTCCGTGCTCCTTTGCTCAAAGCGTGTGCTGCCGTGTGCATCTCTCCTCATCCCTGTTATCGCATCTCTGGTGCGACGGTGAAAGCTCTTGCCGGTCAGTGTAGGCTCTGAGTCGTAGCGGGATGAGGAGAAGATAACCAAAAGTACCTGCTGCGTGAGATACTGATCATGCAGGAGATTTCTGAATCTCTGAGATACACCCCAAATTCATGTTCACGTTTGGCATATCAGGTGGAAGCTTGAAGCTCCCCTTTTCTAGCTCAAAGATGAACAAATTTAAGGTTGTCTTGGCATTAGAGTGTTCTGGGGTGGGAGAGAAGGTTAGGTTGTGGAAATCTTTATTCCTGACTGAAGGTAAACGCAGCTGCTCAGAGCTTGCCTGTTGTGTGTCAAAGCCCTGTGAGCTGCCACACGGTGCACAGCGGGACTTGGGGTGCTTTTGCTGGGCCTGCCTTGTCATTCTGCAGCCAGCAGCTCCTCACCCGGGCTGGCAGCTCGCCGCACACCCTCTGCAATGTCGAGAGCTGCTCTGCCCTCCCTGGCTTTGAGCAGGAGGTGCCAGTTCAGAGCGTGTGATGGCTGCGCGAGGGCATCTCTCACGGAAAGGCCTTGCCTTTTGCAGGACCCCTCTCGGAGATCCATTTCCCTATAGACAGACTGACCAAGAAACCCAAAGGATTTGCTTTCATCACGTATATGATTCCCGAGCACGCAGTGAAGGCCTATGCAGAAATGGATGGGCAAGTGTTCCAGGTACGGTGACTGATGTTTTTTCTGTGCTGTTGGACTGCAGCTCATGGGAATATTTGTTAGTAATGTGGCCAAATGTTTGCTTCTGTGCTTTGCTGAAAAGGTTGAGTCCCTTCTGCCTTGCTGTGTGGGAACACAGCTGCTTTCAGTAGAGCTGCCTGGTTTGAACAGCCTCGCAGGTACCAACATCTGAGCTAGAGGTGGAGGAAGGAGATCGGAGTCTGTCTCTCTCACATTGTGTGGCTATTCTGACTTGCAGTTATGTCTCCTTTGGGAGGGAAGGTTCCCTCCTTCCACCTAGGCTGCTTGACTAGGGAAGGTGCCAGAAAATTTCCTCTACTCTGCTTAGTTCATGAGCTTCTATGCGTTATTTCAGAGCTCCTGGACCTCTTCTTCCTTCCTTGTAGGGTCGAATGATGCATCTTTTACCATCCACGATCAAAAAGGAAAAAAACGAAGATGCAGATGCAGGAGAGTCTTCCTCCTACAAAAAGCAGAAAGAGGCCAAGGACAAAGCCAACAGTGCCAGGTACAGAGGTGTCTTGTAGCGGGGCAAGACAACACAACCTGCCCAATTCCCAAGTGGCGGGAATGCCTGTGGGGTCTTTGGTAATCTATACAGCAAAGTCAATAAAGCATTTGCTGTGCAGCTCTCTGTTTCCTTTATCTCTTACTTACTTGATAACTCTGTCCAAGTAGCTCTGCTAGTTCAGTGAGCAGCATTTGAGAGAAGCATGGTTTTCACTGGCTTTGTGTATGAGTTTATTTCTCTGACGTCTAATAAAAAGTTGGTCTGATGCCGCAATTCTTCAGCGTAGCGATTTCAGATCAGTTGGATCTTTCTCCTTTACTTGGCCGCCTGCATTTAGAAAACTTGTAGGAACTCTATCTTTGTGTGACAAATTAGTTTGAAAGTGGCCGATACTTTCCAACTTGAAGGGAAAGGAATGCAACCTTACTCACACAGGCTTTGTGTGTTTAAGAAACAGGTTGAAAAAACCACGTTCTTCTGAACTTCCAGCTGTAACTGCAGACCTGTGGCCAGTGACCTGTAGGGAAGAAGAGCAAGGCTGCCTGCACAGCTGCCCTTCTCTTGCCTCTCCAGTCATGTCTCCCTCATCCTGACCCATCTCTAAGGATCTTCAATCCTTCTTTCCCTCTAGCTTTTCATCCTGGCTGCTAATGGTGGCATTCCGAGCTGTTTTTTCCCCAGGACCATTGGATAGAGAGACACCAGTGGAAAATGGGACTGTGTGACCTGGCTCTTCTTTCTCTTTCCAGCTCTCACAACTGGAACACGTTGTTTGTGGGGACAAATGCTGTGGCTGATGCCATTGCTCAGAAGTACAATGCTTCCAAAAGCCGAGTGTTGGATCACGTAAGTTGTGTTGTTGATCAGCTGGCACGGGAGATCATTTTCCTACTTGTTTTCTTGTGCCCAGGGCCTGCCTGGTTTTTTGGTGCAACAAAAGCCTCTGTGTATCCATGAACACCACAGAGGCTGAGAGATCAGTGATGCAGTAGCCTTTCTGTGGGATCTGAGCATAACAACCCCTTTGTCACTGGAAGACAAAGTCATGCTCCCAGCTCTCCTGCCTAGTCTGCTTTTCTCTGACTGAATTTTGCATTTCTACGTAACTAGTGGTTGGGAATTTGCACCCTAAAGCTCACATCCTTCCTGGAAACTTTGTTTTGCCTTGGGAAGCGTTCTGACTCCAACAGCAAAACTCCTAGCAGCTTCAGAGGAGCTGAAGCATTTTACCTTCAAGCTCTCTGCCAAATTCCCTTTGCATCTGCTTATGGGTGCAGCAGGAAAAACAGGTGCCTGGCACCTTCCTGGATCAGGCTCTTTGCTTCCCTGTTGAGCTTTGTCGTGTTGTCAACTGATGTTCTTGCCTGCAGGAGAGTAAAGACAGTGTGGCAGTGAGGGTCGCTCTGGGAGAAACCGAGCTGGTCCAGGAAATTCGCCAGTTTCTCATCGAAAATGGAGTCAGCCTGGATTCTTTCAGCCAGGTGAGATGCCCAGCTGAAGGCAGCAATGTGGACCTGCCTCTTCCATGTGATGGCCCAGTCCTATCGTCCTCAGCTGTCTTTTTGAAATTAGTAATTAAATCCTCAGCATCTTGCAGGATTGAACCCTTACATGGGTTAGGAAATGTTCTGTCCATTTCAAAATGCGGCTGTCCTTGGGATGGCTGAAATACGTAATGTGATGGCTTATGGTATGATGGGCAGCTTGCTGTAGGCAGGGAAGGAGTCCCGTGTCTATACCAGGGTGAATCTGGAGCTGAAACCTCCAAACACGAGCATTTGTGGAACAGGAAGGTTGTACTGGGGTGTGGATCTTCTAGGAAGTGTTTTCTAAATGGCTGTTGGTCCTCTTGGATTCTGGAAAGGGGTGACATGGAGTGAGAGAGCACGGCAAGTTGGATCTGAAATCTTCAGTTAGTAAGGTCCCAGGTTGTGCTTTTTTAAATCCAGTCTCCCCTTTCTTCTCCCACTGAATGTGGCAGGCTGCTGGTGAGCGGAGTAAAACGGTGATCCTGGTAAAGAACCTCCCTGCTGGCACGAGCGTAGCGGAGCTGGAGGATGTCTTTGGCAAACACGGCAGCCTGGGCCGGGTGCTGCTGCCAGAAGGAGGCATCACGGCCATCGTGGAGTTCCTGGAGCCAACCGAGGCCAAGCAGGCCTTCACCAGGCTGGCCTACTCCAAGGTGAGCGTGGGGAGGGGTAGGCAGCTGCCTGGAGAGTGCAGATCTTGGCTAGTTGTGAAGCTGCAGAAAGGAACGCTTGCTACAAGTGTGAGGGGCAGAGGGCTTCTGAGGGAAGTGAGTTATCCCAGAGCCACTGCTGTTGCTCTCTATCCCTTGGATTTAGGGAGATGCCCAGTGCATCCTTGTGCAGGACTCCTCGCTTGCAGAAGATAGCTGAAGGAGGGGGCTATGCACATCTAGAAAAGCCTGGATGGCTTGGAGAGAGTGTCTTTCACCTTTTGCAGTACCGGAGCGCGGTACGTGGTGGACTATGGTCCCATGTGAGGCTGGATACAGACTTTGCTTCAGTGAAAGGGAGTTTAGCCAGCTGAAAAACTTGCTCAGCTTTTCTACTGCTGTTTTCCATTACAGAGTGAGAGGAAAATAAAGCTGAGAGCAGAGCTTTTTCTCCAGGCCTTGCCCTCCACTTTTCATGTCTCTCCTGTGTTCTCTTTACAGTTTCATTCTGTGCCGTTGTATCTGGAATGGGCTCCAATGGGTGTCTTCTTCAGCCCAGCCCCTCAGAAAAAAAGCCCTCAGGCTGCAGAAAAGGAGGGCAAAGCAAGGCTGGTACCTGGTGAGAACTTTGACTTTGGGACGGAGGTGTATCTGGTTGTTTTGCCACTCCTTCACATGCAAAGTAGCAGCGCCGATATTCCTGACCCTTTGGGGATGGAACCAGCCTCACGAAGTCGTCTGCACAGCCCTTAGGGTCGCCTTGCTGGTGACAGGTTGTGGGTCCCTGTGCGTATTTCTCCTGTGCTTTTGTGTCAGGCCCTGCTGTATGCTTTGTCTGGGTGATTTCCCACTGCAAGGACATGACCTTCCCTCCCTGAGTATAGCCTCTTTCTCCCCATCCCAGGGGCTGTAAAAATTACATCTCGCCTATATACTTAAAACCTTTCAAGATCCTTTTAAAAAAGAAAAACAGGACACCAAAGAAGAGTGGCTTTATTAGGTTTGTTTTGCTAGAAGGTATTTCAGGATTGTGAGTTTTTGGGAAGGGGGAGAAAACCTGATGAAAAGCCTCTTCCTGTGCTGCCGTGCTGCACCTGGGTCACAGGGGAAGGCTGGAAGGGCCGGAGGGCTGCTTTATCTCCCCGTAACAGAGACCCACACCTGGAGATAAAGGGCTTTAAGTGCAGGAGCTCCTAGAAGGCTGCTCGGGGCTGATAATGGTCTCTGCACACCCCTGGTCCAGTGCAGGTTCCCCTCATATGAAATGAGGGAGAAATAAGCCTAGAAAAATCTCTGAGGGAGGTGTTAATGCCAAAGGGCGATGTGTAGTTTACCCCTTCTGAGCACAGGATCAGCTGTGCTGTGGGGGTTGAAGCTGCTCTAAAAGACAAGTGGCCTAGTGAGGAAAGGAGTTGGTAAGTCAGTGGATGAGAGAGAGCGAGAGAGCGCGAGCTTGTGTGTATTCTTCATGTCTAATAAGGGCCTCATCCCACTGCAGTCTCCGCTTCAGTGAGGCTCTGACAGGTCTCTCCTCCCCCCTGTCGCATGTGGTCAGTAGCTTTGAGGCCTCTTCATTGCGTTAAGTACAGTAGAAATTATTAAGCCATTTTAGAAATTGGGAAGAGAGGGAAATGGATGGATGGAAAGAGTCAAAATGGAGTTGCCAAAGCTTCCCTCCTGGCTAAGACCAACCACAAATACCAGCAGACTTGCCCATTGATCAGCTGTACAGATCCAGGTTTCTGTTAACCTCACAGCTCCATCGTGGGGCTTGGGTGCCCCAGAGGAAGCTGTTGCGCTGATTGCTGAATTGCAGCTTGATTACTTGGTTTTCTTTTTACAGATTTGTCTTTGCAGAATCCCCAAAGCAAGATTTGCACAAAATAGTGTGCGTTGCTGTTGACCTGAGTGAGGTTTGTGAGTCACGGAGTGTAAACCCGTGGCTCTGGAAGTGTTAATGCTATAGTGAAGCCCTTGAAGGCCACAGCCTCTGTGCTGGGTGCAGTTCTTCGTTGCCTTTCAGCACGTGTTTGGGCTTTACGGACCATATTCCTTCACTTGCTGACAGGGATGTTATTTCACATCTTGTGGGTACGTATTGGCAAGAGGTGAGGTTTCAGAGCAGTGCGGAAAGGTGCTCAAGGAAGTTTGGAGCCTCTTTGATTAGTTC